GTATTAGGCCTTTAATGCCCATTGACAAAATTTTTCTATGTCAAAAAGTTTTTGAGTTGTGGGGGTTTTTGTTAAAAAAACAAAAAGTGGTCTAAGTTACCCCATTTTACGGTACTCATCTTAAAGCTGCTTTTCTGACGCATTCAACGGTACCAAAACCATTTCTGTACATTGATTTATACCTTCACTACAGATCCCAAAAGGGGGGTAGGGTGGGGGCTCTTTAATAATTCCCTATGGAAGTAATTAGCTACCAAACACTTGCAATAGAAAGTCTACATGAAGTGCACCTCAGTTACCCAGTAGACAGCATACGGGGAGGTGTGCTAGCAGTCGCTCCCACCATCCTTGAATGGAATCGAGCTCCAGTAATGTTTAGTTTCGTATCCTTGCTACATTTAGTGCCTATGCGGATGTTTTGAAGCTACAGCAATGAGAGATACACCATTCGATTCGCAATTAAAATATCTAGAAATTGTTGAGCCATTTTTTTTATTTTGTTATAGTTTTGAAAATATTTTGAAAAAAGGGAGGGAAATATAGGTATATTTTGAAAAATTCAAAATTTTTCAGAAAAATCATCATAAAAAGAGAACCAAGAAAAAAATTGAAAAAATGGCCTGAGAATAGCGAGATATGGTCTTTACGCATTGAATGATACGTGTCTTGATGTTTTAGCATGTGATTTGCAACAGTTAAAACTTTTTTTGAGTACCCCCCTGTTTGGCCGTTTTCTATGAATTTCATGTTTTCTTTCATTTCTTTTTTAAAATTCACACAAACAAAAAAGTCTTAGAATTCTGTTTTACATATGTGTACCATTTTTTTTTGGAGACAATCCTTCCCTAAATATAGAAAATAGATTTTGACATATAAAGCATTGGGGTCCAAAATTGACACTATCAACTTTTCTAGTTTTTAGGCTAATCTTAAAGCTTACATTCTGCTGCATCAAATGTTACTAGAACCATCTCTATACGTTGATTTATGCGTTCACAACAGATCCCAAAAGGGTGGGGGTGGTGGAGCCCCTTAACAAAATCGTATTAATTAGAATAATTCCATCTGGGCACTATAAATGTGCAGTCTGTGGCCTTGTAGCTCAGTCAGCCATGAGCTGTCATGGTGGAAGGCATACATGTACAGCAGTCCCTTGATTAGCACGGTTTTGAATACCGCGGTTTTGATTAACGCGGAAAAAAAATTTGCGACCTACCCTTAATCTACGCGGTGCCCGTTTTGATTAGCGCGACTTTTTTTTCACAACGCATCATTTTCCCGCCTCTAGCCAGAGGTGTTACGTTCGTAACAAAAGTGTTACTTTTTGCTCATTAGATCTTATGTTGTTACTTTTGTTACGACTTTTGGAAAAATTCGCCAAATGTTACTTTATGAATTTCAGCCAATAATTCTTTAAAGTCTAGCCGCGAGTGTGACGGTAGCATCACATGTTGTGAACTCGTTCGAACAATGTTCGATGGAGTAGGCGAGCCGCTACTGCCAGTACATACAACACAAACACTGCTCGTGATCTGAAAAGTAATTCAGATTGTTTTTTGACTTTTGAAACATAATTCAGTGATGAATTTTAGTGGAAATATGATGAATTTTAGTGGAAAAAAAATTATTATGTAACTTCGCTATTTTTGAGGATTCATTATAATTATTCCCATATATTCTTAAGTTTGATTAGCGCGGTTTTGCTTAACACGGTAAAACTCAGGGATTTATTAACCGCGTTAATCAAGGGATTGCTGTATGTTTTGAAAGCGAAAATATTAATGTAAATTTAAGGCTTTCAACCCTTTTAACGCATGCGAAATTCTTTTAAGTGTTGTCTACCTTATTGTCCTTTGTTTATAGTCTGTTACATCAATAGTCCACGACTGGCGCGTAATTAATTCACGTAAATTGTAACAGTTTTGAAGTGCGTTGACTGCTAAGTGCTGTTCTTACTCCGATCTCCAGTTTCTCCTCGAGTGGATTAATGATAAGTGATAACTGACTAAGCTAGTCGTCATTTTATGAGCATAGTAACTTTACT